ACACCAGCAAATTTCTTCACAGCTTCTTGAAGATCTGTACCGTACAAACAGACACAACATACGAATGACATTTTCACCTCTTTACTATTGTTGGCACATGCACAGACACACGTCATGACGTCATAGAGACACCCCTTATTTGGACAGTGGTAATAACGGCATTTGTCGCCACAGAGTACAGCGTGGTGCAGGTATCCTAGCAACCATCATTCACAAACGAACGTCACGATAAACGTAAATACAACTATATATGTTTGTCAGTGACTGTAGCTGAAAGAGGTGAAGACGACCAATGAACGACGACAACACACTGCAACACATGCAATTTACGTTCTTCAACGAAATTACAGAAACGACCGACAAATGTTACACCTGATTGCTACCACTGCCTACGACAACTCTCGACGAACGAAAACTACTCCACAGCTCAACAAACAACCAATTTAGAAAGAGTAACCACCACGAAGAATACGACTGTTCGAAGAAGAAGCTCCAAACCCAATGAACGGAACAATTTCACTGTCACTCTTTGCAAGCACGAACAATATTGACGGCCAACACATGATATTTAAGCGATGTCAATGTCTGTCACAACCAGGAACATTTTCCAGTGTCCTGTTCATCAACTCTAACTTCGTTACAAAGCACAAACAGGTACTTTATTTACAAGAGGTCAATCAGTAGGTCACTGAATGGCCGTCACGTTGTGACACGAGACTAGGACAGAGACGAAGGTTCACGACAAACGACATTCATACTAACAAAAACATCGGTTGCTAAACGACGGCAAAGTGAAGGTTTTGGGAAGAAAGCTGTGATTACTCACAGGCACAGTCGATCTAGGATGATCCCTGTTTTGCCTCCCGTGTAGCTTACATTGATCACAAGAAACACTACGAACTACTCCCACTCGACTAACTGAATTGCTGGAAATATTTCAATTGAAACTGTACACGACGAGGAAGGGCACTGCTGAAGTTAAACATCAACATGCAAATACTCTAGTCCAGTACCTATGGCTGAGTTTCAAAACCTCCTCCCTTGCTAGCGCTCTGTTGATGTATGAAACATTACAGACAGCAGTAGACTGTTCATTGTCTGATACAAAATGTATTGCTGTGGATGACTGTAATCGGTACGAAGATGTGTTCGTTACCTACACAGCCTAGCCTACGTACATACATGCAATTGTTACATCATAGATAAGGCCATGGTAAAAAAAAAAGTTATTCTCAGGTCATGAGCCTGTGAAAATCGGTGCGAGCGAGCGATTTTTTATTTTATTTCCCACATTTTTTTATTTCCAAAGATAAGGTCACACATATGTACATGGTCACATGTTCATAATTATATTCAGGCCAGGGAGTAGCAAAATACCGGTATTTTACTACTCCCTGATTCATGCCTTTCGCATTGACCATTTTCATGCGCACATATGCATGCATAGAATTTTAAAAAATCGTCGGTGCGCCGCCAAAAATCGGTGCGCGCGTACTTGAGACTCAAAGATAGTTTTCACCATGGCCTAAACGTCGATTTGATACAAGGACTCTTGCGAAGCCTCAGACATCAGAGTCATTGCTGGGTAGCATCTGTGCCTGTGCATAGCACTGGTGAGTAGATCTACTGGGGACTAGACCAGAGACACCACACAACACTCTACAGACCCGAAACAAAGTGCAAATTTGGAATCAAGTAAGTGATCAGTACAGTGGCCTATGCAATGCACGGCCGGTCGAGATCACGACATGATCTGCTGATCCCAAACACGGTCATACTGTGATCAACCAAGCGCTGTGCAAGGGTACAGAAACCTCCGCTGCCCAAACCAGTCGGATACAAATGCGACTATGTACCTGGTCTACATGTGGAATGCAGTAGGGAAACTCACATTCATTCATACTCTCCTACGCGTTCCACAATAGCCGACCTACTTTCTTGGTTTCATGCTACTAGTGCGACCACCACCCACTGCGTTACATCATACAACACTGTTCTGGTGGCGTGGGCCTAAACTGAATCCTATGCATGCCAGAGCGCTTCTAATTCTATCGCCAAAAGAGTCTGACAATCCGACAAATCGCTCCGTGTTATTGGATACGACAGCGTTGCTCAATGAAATCCATTCGCCTCACTCGAGTACGCGCCGGACTTTCCGCAGCCCTAGACCTGCGAACACTGGGCTGCGAAATAATGCAAGACGCAAACTTGAGTGACGCGACTGGATTTCATTGGGCAGCACTGTACTTCGAGTACTAGATACTTTTGACGTGGCATTCTCTTGAATTCTCCATAAGGCCATGGTAAAAATTATCTTTGATTCTCAAGTACGAGCGCACCGATTTTTGGCTGCGCACCGACAATTTTTTTTAACTCTATGCATGCATATGCGCGCATGAAAACGGTCAATGCAAAAGGCAAGAATCAGGGAGTAGTAAAATAGCGGTGTTTTTCTACTCCCTGGCCTGAATATTATGAACATGTGACCATGTACATACATGTAAGTGTGACCCTATCTTTGGAATTACTGTATAGCAGGAAATTTTCGGACGGAAATATTGTCGGACAAAGCCGAATTTTGACCTTTCGTACGGATTTTATTTTCGTACAGTGGGGCATGCTAAATGCACGTGTTTACATGCGCTACGCATGTATTGTATAGTCCACATAACTTCACAGGAACAAATTTTAGTACGGAATTTATTTTAGTACAAAAGAGAACGTGTACGAAATCGTACGAAAATACAGTAAACAAATTGTGGGAAATAAAATAGAAAATCGCTCGCTCGCACCGATTTTCACAGGCTCATGACCTGAGAATCAACTTTATTTTTTACCATGGCCTAACATTACTTAGCAAGTTAGTTACAGATATCTACCGTGCACATCTCACATGCCTACTAGTGTGTGTTCAGACACTATCCAGTAGACTGTGGGAGAGAGAAAGAGCAACACGTCCATTCAGATAAGAAGTGATCTTTTCAACGCACTCAAGGTCACCCACCACGCACGCACACACACACACACACACACACACACACACACACACGTGCACACACGCACACACACACCACACAAACACACACATACACACATGACACCACACACACATACACACATGACATCACGCACACATACACACGTACACGCCGGCGCGCGTACTTACCTCGTTGCGTTTTTGGAGCAGGAGCTGATGGCGTAGTTTGAGCGGCAGCGGCAGAGGCAGGTTGGGTTTGTGTGGCGACGGTAGCACTAGCTACTCGTGTCATTTCGCGTCCGTCAGAGGACACGACAACATCATTTGAATGCAATGAGGAATGGAACCTGTAGAATCGCATCTTGGCTCAATACTATAATTATAGTCTTTAGTCTTAGGAAAAGCAAAGAATCAGTAGACAGTAATGTCAGTATGTAATACAGTGAATCTCAGAGAGACAGTGGAGGAACGACAGCATCTATGTATGCGATTGAACAAGCGCAGCGTTTCCGCGGCACTTTATCATGTTTATTCCACGCATGCCCCTACAACTTGTAAGTTGTAGTATAGTAGTCGCTCTAACGTTGCATGCCATAACCAAGGCATAAGCATTCAGCTGCAACTATGTTTTTTTCGAGGTCTTTTAGGCCCCGGTCACACATGCACTTTTTTTGGCGGTTCCGCCAAAGCGTAACTTACGCTTCCGCCGTTGCCTCGGCAACGGCGGAGGCGTAAGTTACGCTTTGGCGGAAAGTTTGGATTTCGCTACGCCAAAAAAATGCGAGCGGACCCTCCGCTTTCGCGGATCCGCTTTGGCGGAACCTGCATGGTGATGGCTTTGGAGTTTGGTGTGCTACTTCTGCACTGAGTTCTGGTGTTGTTTGGTTGCCGTTTGGTATTCAGTTTTCATATTGTTCTTCTTTGCCAATGAACTGTACGTTCTGGAGATCTCGCGAGCAATACTGCATCGTTATGAGTGGATAGTTGGTGAGGGAATAACTCCGAATCCGTCTCCCAACGAGTCATTGGCCCCGATCGCGGACGATCTCCAACTCTCTCCTTCTCTCCCCAAGCAATACGTCCACCAGAGTATGCAACACTAGGACTGCAACCAGGGAGTAGTAGAGTACTCTGCCACACCCTCACTGCAGCTGCAGGCATCCACGCAGTCGCTGGGTCGATGATGGATCATGGAGGAGGCAACGACACCCTGCTATAAAACTATTTGAATTTGATATTGATGTAAACTAAACTATTCAAATACACCCGTGCTGGGCCGCAGTGAATGTGCCCCAAATCCACGAGTGTACTTGACATGAGACATTCAGCAGCCTGTCAGCGATCCACGATAGCTCTACTTGTACAAGCGAAGGTCGCTTCAACTCGGACAAGAAGGAGGCAACGACACCCTGCTATACGACTATTTGAATTTGATATTGATGTAAACCAAACTAGCAATATTCAAATACACCTGTACTGGGCCGCAGTGAATGCGCCCCGAATCCAGGAGTGTACTTGACAGGAGACATTCAGCAGCCTGTCAGGGATCCACGATAGCTCTACTTGTACAAGCGAAGGTCGCTTCAACTCGGACAAGAACATCTAAAATTTCATAGGACGTGCTGAATTTGCATTCTCTCCGCTATAAAGCGGAGCGTTGAGGAGCACTGTAGTCTACATGTATGTGTGACCGTACCGCTGCATCGTGTGGTCCGCCAAAGCGGCTGCGGTAGTTCCGCTTTTCGCCTCCGCAAAAGCGGTGCAAGCTTTTCATGTGTGACCGCGGCCTTACGAGGTTTTAAAAAATTCTTATACTGACCAAGTACGAAGTCAATATTAGATTTTATCACGACAAACAGTCCGTATTTCAATTCCAGAATGATAACCTCATGTCATGAATCCTGGTTTTATGATTGCACAACCGTAGCACCATCACCTACTCATACAGTGACCATGCTGAACTAGGCACCGTTCAACTGCGCAACCCATACAACTGTAAGTACTCGTACTCGTGAGTCGTAGTCAAAGATAAGTAGTCAGTATAGCCATAACTCATAAGGAGTGAAATATGCAGGAATATTTGACTGCTTAGGTATAGTGAAAATCAATGGGAGTCAATACTAAGAGAGTGATAATCGTACATAACAATGCTTTCCTTTTGGGTCAGGCGATAACGAAAGCTCGCATCACGTGGTGTGGTGCTCACGAGTCATGTCAGACTTCTACAGATGTGTCCAGGGTTATTCTAGTGAGCCGTGGTGCAATAATATTAGTACTCCTTGATCTTCATGGTTCATTCGAGACCATGAAAAAATACACCCAATATACAGTTTTCATTTATTTCAACTAGCATGACTTCTAATGCAATCTGAAAATGTCACAGCAGATGCTTACGCACACACCAATCTCTTGTACACCCTTTTGAACAGATCCCAGCGCAGGAACGAGCTCATACAGGTACATTGCAAACTCTGCTCCCTCATGACCCGTAATCCTAACATTGACCCACTCTCGAACGATCAAGAACAATGCACCTAAGAACGAGCAGACCAGAATGTTACCAGGCATACATGTATGATACCCGTCTGTACAAGGTGGCTCGGCCATATACATATACATGTACAAATTTCCACATGAGATTAAGAACGTCTTACTTAGTTAGGTTACAACTCTCACCCCGCACTTTCTCTACACCAGACAGTACTGTAATAGGTTCAATTGCAAGAGCTTTGATTCACAAGCGTCATTGTCTCGGCTAAGCCTGTTCGGGACTATCGAGTGAGCGTAAATCAGCGGGAAGTTTATTCCAAGCAACAGCGATAAGGAAAAGGAAGGATTTAGCGAAGTAACTGCCAGTTGGTGGAAGGACTAGAGACTTGGGGTGTCGGGAGGATGATAAAAATCGGAAAGTTAAATCAAAGAGAAGAGAAGGAAAGGTGTAGACAATGTGGTGAAAGTAGCATAATTAAAGGATCTGTAATCGCCATTGTTCAGCTTCTCAGCCTGCGCGCTGGTTAACTCGTAGCTGTACTGATGAGGCCTTTAAAGTTTATGGCCGAAACAGCTTGTTGTCTACAGCATTGGATGTACATGTACATGGAGATATGTGGATTTTGTAGAAAAAAAAGAAAAGAAAAAACATTGTATGTACATGTACAGTAGTCTATGTATGTCGGTAGCTTGATGTACATGTACAGTGGTCCCTCTATAATCCGGCACCATCTGTGCCACGGAAAATCCGGTTTATTTTTTATTTTATTTTTTTAATGTTTATTTGAATTCGGATAGCTCAACAGTACAGAAGTACAACTACAAAGAGTACCGAATAGAAGGCCCCGAGAACGGGAAACCAAAAAAAAACAAAAACAGCAACATCAATTTACTGATTATGCACATTGGTTGAAAGCAAATCACAACAATGATTAAGAGGGAGGGTGCTGGATTAACAAATCGGATTTACTGCTGCAATGTGCATGAAGAGGACATTTTGGCTACTGAAAATTGTGCTGGTTTATCGAGGGTGCTGGTTTATAAAGTGCTGGATTAGAGAGGGACGACTGTACCCCTTTTCGAGTCCAATCCACTTCACAGGACAAGCAAACTAGTGTTCAGCCCTCTGCTGAAAATTTGCAATCGCATGCGTTCTCCTTGGTCTGACTGCTGATACCAGCTGATATGAGTGGCCAGTCTTCGAAATAAAATCCTTCACTTTGGTCTCCTTTGATCCACGTTTTTGTTGCACTAGTAGCATAATTTGATTATTATTGTTCGAGTCAAAACCGTGTATTGTCCTAAAAGCAATGGACGTGCTATTTTGCCACAAATAGATGAGTCAGCGTGCAGGCTTGGCACGTCAGTGATTCCCTATGCAAAGCGAGGAAGAGGCAGCCCGTTGCGTATAATACTCGCACGATTGGCAGATTTTGCTCGAGAAGCAAAGAAATTGGCAGAACCATAGAAACCGTATGGCAGGCACTTCCTTGAATTCTGCTCCTTTTCTGTATCAACAAACGAATCATGTATTGAACGCAGCAGGAAAAGCACCAAAATGCTGGCAATGTTTCTGCGGGCATTATCCGCCAAAGGCTAGGAAGATGTGCCAGATCGCCTTTCAGGATGGCTGTTAGTGTCCGCACAACTGACCGGCTGTCAACTGACGTGATCACGTGATGATTCGACCCTTCTACCACCGGCAGGGCATCTATTGAGAATGGGAATTTCGTGATGATAAACACGGAAATGATCAGCGCCCCAGACTGACGGCTGTGACGATCAGACAAATCCCTCATGAGTCATGTACATGTATGCTACACTTCACGATCATCACTGGAATGTACATCGAAAGGGCAAAATGCCGAGGTCAACACACAGATCGCTGTGCCAGCACACTGCTCGGCAAACAGTAACACACAACTGCATTCTACATTGATTTGTGGTGCGGCTAGTACAATCAAGTTGTTTGGTAAAATGGGATTCTGGTAGGTCTACGGTTATACTGCTGGTGCTATGCCAGTTCCGCAGGAGTGCGGAAAACCACTCAAGGAACTGGCATGAAGAGACTGTCGTCAGTTTTCACCTGACCCTGATCACAGACACAAGGAGCTGATGACATCCTAGAAATAGAAGCTCGGGCTAGTTGGGGTACCAGGTATCTCAATGCTTGTGCAGTTCACACCTGCGGGCTTCACACGACGCGTTGAAGGAGGTGCGCTGCATGGTGCAAGCGGTATGTGGTGTAGACCTCTTGGTTCCGAGATCCACTGGGCACTGGTTCAACAACAGTGCAGAAAACTCCGTTTCACAAGCTAGTCGACTACAAACTGTGGTCAGGTGAAGATGCATAACCGTATCTCAACCTGTACTCCACATACTGGTAACACTTCCGCTGCAACACGTCTTGACGGTCCGCAAAAAAGTCACACCTTCGGACAAGCATTAGCGCAGACTTCAGTAGACACGCACGGAAGTGATCGTTGTGCACCGTCGAGCGCGGCGCGTAGCGTCGATGTTCACCGTCGATGTACGGCCAGCTACGGACAGCTATCATCACACTTCACAGTTCCTGAACTGCCAGGTCTGGTGTGGCCTGCTAAGAGAAAGAGAAAGAGAAAGAGTCAGAGTCTACACTTTTACAACGTTACACACGTTGACGCGCGCGAAGAAGAAATTTAGCTCCTCTGAATGCCAAAACGACCGTAGTTTAGGACTGCAAATGTGTGTTTCCTTTCAGAGAAGTTTGTTCAGAATTGGGTAGAGTAGCCAGTGTCTATTGGCAAGGTCGGTGGTAAATTTCAACACGTTCAAGTCATTAGGTCTCAGCCAAACTAGCTGCCAGCACTTCCCCAAGCCAAAGAGTATAAAGCTGTTTTTTACCCCAAGCACATCATCATGATGGTGGTGTTTTGCGCCGAAGGTCTTCCAGTAATGTAACAGAGCGTCAACGCGCAATGTGAAGTTACCCCAAGAGCACATGGAAAACCTCGATGCGGCATCTTGACCTAGAATCAAGATGGAGGAAGCAGGCAAGCGAACAAGTCCTACGCCACAGAGTTCTAGTCTCCTGCTTGTCGGTGAGTCACTGACCTGTGCTAATCTCGTTTACAGTGTATTCGTTTGTCAAAATTATACCCACCATTTCAGTGACACACACACACATTTTCAAACCGGATGAAAATGAGCTTGGATGTCTCCCAAGCGGGCACGATTCACTCCCGGATCCTGCGAGTACTCCGCTGTCAAACTGTCCGGGTTAAAGGGGAAGTATACCCTTAAGGCCAAAACAAATAATGACCTTGTTTCCGGTCGCCCGACCGGGCCACTTTTTCCCAAATTCTGAAACTTTTTTTGGTCCCAAATGTATGCAAACGGTGGCAATGCCATGTGTGCAAGTGCACTCAACGAGTCATAACTCAGTCAAATCTCAACCGAATTCCACAATCGAAACACCTACAAGGTAGCAGAGATTCTCAGCTGTCGGCTCGAAAACCTATGGGGTCGATATGAGCTAGAATAACGGAGCTGGAAGGACTCGAACTGTTTGCTTGATTTCTCAGGATGTACGAAAACAGGAATACACCACATGCTGTACAAGAACAGTGAGTCAGTCAACTTTGACATTGATCCTGGCCATGATATATGTACAATGTACATTGTGTAGGTGCTCTTGTCCATCAATACCACAACGATTGAGGAACCAAAAAAAGTATTCAAAAAAAGTTTCATTCCGGCCGACCGAGTCTTCTTTTTGAGGGGTTGCCGACCGGAAACAAGCCTATTTTTTGTTTTGGCCTAATCAAATTATCACTAGTTGTAGTCTTCGGGGTACTGAGTCGAATGGTCTTGGTCCAAGGAAGCTGAGTCGCTCCCTTCCCCCTTTACTCCCAATTGAACTCGTGCACTTCCACCGAAATTGGGTGACTGCGCCCTACTAGATGGGGATTTGTATGCAAAATGTCACTAAACGCGCGATTTCATTCTGATAAAAATCGTAAAAGGATGGATGACCGCGATTGGTCCATATGTTGTAGTCTGTTGGCCGCTGAGTCGACTGGTTTTGGTCCGAAAAGGCTGCGATGCAGCGTTCGGCCCTTATTCCTAATCAAACACTGGTGAGTAAGCGGTCACGTGCTCATGCGTACAGCAGTCACCTGGTCACTGTGCCTGCAGGCTACAACTTTTGCAGTGTTCCTATCACTCGAAATGATCCTTTGAACTCTTGAGTTGAACCTTGGTGTGAAGGTTTTAAGTGCGCAAGTTCGATTGGGAATATAGGAGGAAGGGAACGTCTCAGCTTTCTCGGACCAAGAATTTTTTACTCAGCACCCCGAAAACTACAACTGGCGAAAACTTGATACTTTCCCTTTTATGACTTGAAATTTTATCAAATCTGGAGTGCGTGTAGTGGACCCAGGCCAAAATGTGAGCAGTTGAGTAGTGTGGGGTTTTCACGCCACCCTTGGACCAGGCCACAAGTTTGTTTCCAAAGGTGACTAAATAGGTAGGGTTGTCAAACATTCCCAACGGACGTATGAGGCTCTAACATTGCAACACTGGCCTACATTTTCCATTTTCTCCCCAGTGTTTTCAATGGCATACGCCGTTCCTCAGATCCTTCTGTTATCGGCGACTAGCATGGCGGAAACAGGTGAGATCCATCTGCACATTGCAAGCCAATTGATCACCTATGGCAAAGAACAAATTGGCTTGTACATAGAGGATCTTTCAGACCCTGACAACATTCGAAGGATCAGGGCTTCTCAGTTTACAGTCAAATGCACCTTGTTTTTCAAAATGTCATGTACATCCATGATGCCGTTGAGGGCATGAATCCAGTATCTAAGTTGTGTGACTGTACTATTTCCAAGTGATTTTCTCTGTATCTTACATTAGCATTTCTACACAATAAATAGGCAAGTCGCACATTCAGCACACTCACGCTCACATACACACACACACGTACGCACGCCGGCACGTGCCCCCACACACACACGCACACACACACACACACACACACACACACACACACACACACACACACACACACACACACACACACACACACACACACACACACACTCACACATACACACACACACACACACACATGCACGCACCGTTCTCAAGGGTTAGGCATCCTGGAACGCTTTCGTTTCCATCTCAGGGTATGTGTACGTTGAATGCGCAGCTATTACGGAGGATTAGCAAGACGAAATTCGCGTTCGCGTTCGCACTCCAAGGAAAGTCGAACTCCGTGGCGGAATTCGCGTTATGAGAAGGATTAGCAAACAGAATTCGCACATGCATGACGTTGACACGGTGTACATTGTGTACAGACAGTACAGCGTGGTAAATTTATGACTGTCCTGGCACGAATCCGCGATTCGTGTTCCGACTACTTTTCCGAACGAAAAATGCGAAAGTTCGCAATCCAGTTCGTGAACTGAAAAATGTTTGCGAACGCGAACGCGAATTTCGTCTTGCTAATCCTCCGTAATATTTTACATATCTTTCAGTATACGAAGACTCCACTGTGGCCATCCACTATAACCATACATCCTCACAACATTCTCCAACCTGTCACTGAGTTACACCAATCACTGAACAAGAATAAGATCCATCTTCAGGAGGATTATACTTAGAAGTCGGACACACTTCAGGCTCAACATTTTGAAAGTGGTCACTAGTATATGTTCATGCCTTCAGAAAGTTGGGCCCTATATTTATAGCGTTGATATCCATACTGTCTCCAAGGAGACTGGGTCAAAGTATTGTCCTTGTATCTGAGTCATGAATGTGGTGTGTGTGTGTGTGTGTGTGTGTGTGTGTGTGTGTGTGTGTGTGTGTGTGTGTGTGTGTGTGTGTGTGTGTGTGTGTGTGTGTGTGTGTGTGTGTGGCTGTATGATTTCCAGATATCAATGAGTGCACTGCTGGTACACACCACTGCTCAATAAACTCAACATGCATTAACACTATGGGTAGCTACACGTGTGGCTGCTATCCAGGGTTCATCGATCACTCCACGGCAAATCTCTGTTCAGGTTGGTTGGGGTGTGTGTGTGTGTGTGTGTGTGTGTGTGTGTGTGTGTGTGTGTGTGTGTGTGTGTGTGTGTGTGTGTGTGTGTGTGTGCGTGTGCGTGGGGGGGGGCTGTGTGTGGGTGTATTTGTGGGGGGGAGGCATGTATGTGTATGTATGTCCATGAAGGTGGGGATCGAACTAGGCATATGTATGCATGTATCTCTCCGTTCTGTCTTGGTAGTCAGCCATTGTATATCTATTCTTTGTGGGTCACAAGTATGAGGGGCCCCAACAAAGAGTTGTTTCACTAGAAATCGGGAGCAAAAACAAGCCGTCTTCATCACCGTTATTCAGCTTGAAGCTTTTGAGATGTAGTTTTAGTCAATGTGGATGTCCCCATTCCAGAGTTGCCAACCAACTGGGTCTGCATATGCGTACGATGACTTCCGAGTGTTTGCGTGATGCCAAAGTACTGCCATGTCCATTTCCAGTATTGTGTTTGATGACACTCAAAGGCGGTACTTTGACTGGGGCGTCGGAAGGTGCTCGACATATGTGGGGCTATAATGACGCAGTGGGAAAGTCCTGGGGCCTTCCGGCAAAAAAAGAAGGAAATTTGGGCCCAAATAGCCAAATAGCCCATTATGTTATTGCTTCAAAATTCTCAAGATTACATTTTTGTTCAAATAGAAGAAACCACATGGAAACGAGTTATGAAGCAACTATCCACGACTGTAACAAGATAATAAGCAGTCAGAAAGTGCGAAAACAGGGCACAAAACTGACATGTTACTGAGACATTCAACCACCTGAATATCTTAAGATGGTTGCTTCATAACTCGTTTCCATGTGGTTTCCTCTATCTTACCTATTTTATTGGCTTAGTATCCGAATGAAATTGTTGATGCGTCTTTGCCCGCACCCTGCCGCATCGGTTCCAACACCCCTGCTTGATGTCTGTGGCTCGATGTGTATGCCTTGTGCTGCAACATGGGTTTTTGCTACATTAAATTTTAGTCTTAGCATGGCATACATTTGATTTAGGACAGGGGTAATCATTGCTCAGCTTGTGCTTGCCATGCTTCCACATACGGAATTGATCCTCTTCAATTTTCTGTGTTTTTGTCAAATTACGCCCTGCGGGCACAGGGGTGATTTTCCATACTAATCCAGAACAAGTACAGAACATTAGCAGTACAGCTGTTCCGGGGCAAAGCACTCTTTTTTCACGTTATCCCGAGTTCAAGTTCATAATTTCTAAGTATATGATGAGATTGACTGTTTGCTCGCTTCCTGATTGCTCAGCTTGTGTATCACCATGGCAACAACTGTCACCGGGCTCCAGGTACTGTGGTCTCAAGTTCTCCGGACCGCATGCGTTCAACGATGCGAGAAGTCTATGCGCTAGCCAGCCTGGGGGCGATACCTGGCTGCCCAGAATCTACAACAGCAGAGACAACGACGACATCGTACAGTTTACCAAGGTGGATCTGTGGATCGGTGCAGATGATACAGATGTACGTATCAGTAGACGAACGTGCCGGGTGATTTAGGCACATAGCTATTATTGCCTTGGACCGTCTGAACTAGGAACAGTGTCTTGTTCACTATGCCTAGTAGTTGAATAGAACCAACAAGCCATATTCTGATACTGAGTGGCCGTATCACGAATGTTTGTTTTGGTGCAGTTTGAATCTATGGCACCTATTCCTGTACGGTGATGTCTAGCGTCGTTTTCCAGTGAATATGAGCCGCTTCCTGCTGGCACTTTGTATAAGCCGAGCGACATTTCAAATTCGTTGGATTAGCTTTCAAACTGCCACAAGCAAAAGTGAAATATACCTGTAGAATAAACGCTGCATCATGTCAAACATCCTGTGTTACCGGTTGGGTCGTGGACATTTTCCTTCACAATTCTGGAAAACATATTTGCAGGCATAGATTTTTTTATAAATATATGTATCTCTCACCTTTCTTCAGAATTCCCAAACTCCAGAAAACACCGCCATTCCGGCAACAGGCTCTCAGCTGCACCAAATAAATAACTTTGCCAATATTTCGCCCATTGGGCATCATCAGGGCATTGAGGAAGGGTAGGCAAAAACACGAAATATAAAGACGAATAATGCAGGCAGATAAATGTTCTAAAACTAACACATCGTGGTGACACAATTGGCAAGGCCAGCAAACTAAACAATCATCACTTGTAAGGTGACCTAAACAGAACGAAAGATGAGAAAACTCACACATACACACAGACACAATTTTGGCAAGAAGGCAAAAAAACTAATACTAAAGTTTACAATCATCACCTGTAAGGTGACCAAAACAGAAGAAAGAAGACTAGTAAGACTATCACAGCACGTACAAGAACACTTTCAAGTGTGGGAATGCAAAAGGCGATCTATGTATATGACAGCGGTGTATGTGCAAAGTATGTGTATATGTCTTTATATTTCGTGTTTTTGCTTCCCCTTCCTCAATGCCCTGATGATGCACAATGGGCGAAATATTGGCAAAGTTATTTATTTGGTGCAGCTGAGAGCCTGTTGCTGGAATGGCGGTGTTTTCAAGTATCTCCAACCTTGTTTGTGTCTCAGGTTGAGGGCCAGTTTCGATGGACAGACACAGGCCAACCACTTCAGTACACCAATTGGCTTCCGACCGAGCCTGCCGACTTTGGAGAAGAAGACTACGTTGGCATCTATTACACACTGAACAACTCTGGACTCTGGAACGATTTCCAGAAGATCTACCCTGCGGAAGTTCTCTGCGTCCGAGGTGAGCATTGCATAAATGTCTTCCCGCATGTGTTTTATGCCATGTGTCATCTGTGATCAGCTTCTGAGGTCTGAGACTAGGTGATGACAAAGCCAATTACTCATATATCCCCCAACGGCTATGTGAAGAGGACAATATCTGCTATCTGGATTATATTGTTCGTGTGGGTAACGCGATCATGTGTTGGGGGGGGGGGGGGGGGAGGCGGGGGAGGGGGGGGGGGGGAGCAACATTGAATAGTAGCCATTGCCTTCAGATTGTCCCATACATTCGGAGTTATTTTCATTATGGCCTTTGCCTCGCTGAGACAAAAATATATTCATTGTGTTATGTTCCATAGACATGCCATCCTGCCCACCACCAACTCCAGCGAATGCGTCCGTGGCGGGAGACCGATATTTCATTGGGAGCTCTGTGACTGTGCAGTGTCTTCCTGGACTGTTGCCAGCTGAAGCTACAATCATGACGTGCAACGATAGGTTGCAATGGAGCCCAGACATACCGCTATGCGTAGGTCAGTAAGCTGAAGCTCCGTAATGTGTTAGCTCAGTATTATTTTATTGAAATCCAAAACCACTTTCATACATAGAATGTGTTGCGTAACCTCTAGAGTCTAGAGGGAGAGAGAGAGAGAGTGTGTGTGTGTGTGTGTGTGTGTGTGTGTGTGTGTGTGTGTGTGTGTGTGTGTGTGTGTGTGTGTGTGTGTGTGTGTGAGAGAGAGAGAGAGAGAGAGAGAGAGAGTGAGAGAGAGAGACCTGGGCGTAGGAACCGGTTCGGCAGGCCCGGCGGTCGCCGGACCAATAATTTTCGATTTTTTTTACATTTCAACCTTGTTGGTAGCTTGTCGACTCTTGTACAGGTACCATGTTTTACATCGACAATGCGGTGTATCATCAGCATGCATATTCTTATTTCTCATATTATTCTGTAGCATTAAAATATGGCCTTTTAGGCCGAATTTTTAAAAAAAATTCCAGGGGAGGACACCCGCACCCCCCCCCCTCTCACAATTTTGCCGCACCAATATTTAACTGCTTCCTACGCTCCTGAGAGAGTGAGAGAGTGAGCGAGAGAGAGTGAGAGAGACAGCCTCCTCTAGCACCACCGGCATTGCAGGCTTCGTAAACCCATTCACAGACATACCGTCATGTCCGCCGCCCATTGTGGCAAACGCAACCGCAACAGGAGACAGATATTCCATAGGAAGTACTGTGTCAGTTCAGTGCAGTCCCGGATTTCTTCCCGCCGCAGCTAGATCCTCCATGTGCACCAATAGCTTGCAATGGAGCCCACCCATACTAACATGCAGAGGTCAGTAAAATTTATATTCACACTCTGCCAGGAGTATCGGTCTCTGCATCAAACCTACTGTATTCATGTGAATTTTCGGCAGCTATTTTAACTTCGGCTTTATTTGCGCACCGATCCAAAACGCCTAAATTGAATCGCTGAAAATCATGAAATTCTGAAATTTTTCGACGCAGAATTTAGCATATCTATGGTATGCAATAATGTCGTGATTCTATTTTGTATGGCAGCGCTGACTTGCGAAACGTCCATTATATCATGGGGGAGAGTGTGTACAATGCAGATTTTACTAAATGGATGAGACAGAGTGGCTAAGGTCCCTAGTGACCTGGTTGTGACCACATGTAAAGGGTTCATTATGGACTGTGGGTTTTAAAGTTATGCTCCAATCCAAGGTTTCAAAGGTGCTTATGCATTCCATCTCCACTGAGGTCTGTCTCTGAACTTGGTCTTCCTGATCATAAACTGCATTGCCTGCACGGCAGCAGGCAAGATTATAATGGAATGTATTTTTACACGGCCAGGCCAATTTCTTGCACGGTTTGCTGCAGTCCATTTTGTGTTGAATACTCAAAATGTTTTGAACCCAGCCACTGCCCTGCTCATATTGCATTCTTTCACATTTCAACATTTAATTCCCTTTCACTAGCCTAACGATGTTTTACAAATAATATTTTTTGATGAACTTTCTCTTGTAATTGTGCTCTTCTTGTTCTGCTAATTTAGCTACTGGCTTGTTGAGACCTACCGCCAATCAGTCAGTATTGGCTGGGGAAACGGTGACATTCTTCTGTCCAGTGTTTGGCATCCAGCAACCTCAAGTGACCTGGTACAAAGGAGGAAAGGTGGGAAAGTGAATGTTGCATTTTCCCAAACAGAAAAGACTGGTTTTAACCTTGAATTTTTAAGGATTTTTTATGTTATTCAAAATCGATTTTCGTAAACGAGATATTTAGTGCAATACTACGACAAACATGGCGTTTCCGCAAGGCTTTGTTCAGAACAACTATCTGTTCACTATTGTATCTCCGCTTAAAGTATTTAAAGAGTCGGCGTGGAGAAAGCAATTTTATTAGTGCAATTAGGAGTATAATCGATGCAGACATGGCCAGACAACAACGAGTTCATGGAATTTTTAAGGATTTTTTATGTTATTCAAAATCGATTTTCGTAAACGAGATATTTAGTGCAATACTACGACAAACATGGCGTTTCCGCAAGGCTTTGTTCAGAACAACTATCTGTTCACTATTGTATCTCCGCTTAAAGTATTTAAAGAGTCGGCGTGGAGAAAGCAATTTTATTAGTGCAATTAGGAGTATAATCGATGCAGACATGGCCAGACAACAACGAGTTCATGGAATTTTTAAGGATTTTTTATGTTATTCAAAATCGATTTTCGTAAACGAGATATTTAGTGCAATACTACGACAAACATGGCGTTTCCGCAAGGCTTTGTTCAGAACAACTATCTGTTCACTATTGTATCTCCGCTTAAAGTATTTAAAGAGTCGGCGTGGAGAAAGCAATTTTATTAGTGCAATTAGGAGTATAATCGATGCAGACATGGCCAGACAACAACGAGTTCATGGAATTTTTAAGGATTTTTTATGTTATTCAAAATCGATTTTCGTAAACGAGATATTTAGTGCAATACTACGACAAACATGGCGTTTCCGCAAGGCTTTGTTCAGAACAACTATCTGTTCACTATTGTATCTCCGCTTAAAGTATTTAAAGAGTCGGCAATAAAATTGCTTTCTCCACGCCGACTCTTTAAATACTTTAAGCGGAGATACAATAGTGAACAGATAGTTGTTCTGAACAAAGCCTTGCGGAAACGCCATGTTTGTCGTAGTATTGCACTAAATATCTCGTTTACGAAAATCGATTTTGAATAACATAAAAAATCCTTAAAAATTCCATGAACTCGTTGTTGTCTGGCCATGTCTGCATCGATTATACTCCTAATTGCACTAATAAAATTGCTTTCTCCACGCCGACTCTTTAAATACTTTAAGCGGAGATACAATAGTGAACAGATAGTTGTTCTGAACAAAGCCTTGCGGAAACGCCATGTTTGTCGTAGTATTGCACTAAATATCTCGTTTACGAAAATCGATTTTGAATAACATAAAAAATCCTTAAAAATTCCATGAACTCGTTGTTGTCTGGCCATGTCTGCATCGATTATACTCCTAATTGCACTAATAAAATTGCTTTCTCCACGCCGACTCTTTAAATACTTTAAGCGGAGATACAATAGTGAACAGATAGTTGTTCTGAACAAAGCCTTGCGGAAACGCCATGTTTGTCGTAGTATTGCACTAAATATCTCGTTTACGAAAATCGATTTTGAATAACATAAAAAATCCTTAAAAATTCCATGAACTCGTTGTTGTCTGGCCATGTCTGCATCGATTATACTCCTAATTGCACTAATAAAATTGCTTTCTCCACGCCGACTCTTTAAATACTTTAAGCGGAGATACAATAGTGAACAGATAGTTGTTCTGAACAAAGCCTTGCGGAAACGCCATGTTTGTCGTAGTATTGCACTAAATATCTCGTTTACGAAAATCGATTTTGAATAACATAAAAAATCCTTAAAAATTCCATGAACTCGTTGTTGTCTGGCCATGTCTGCATCGATTATACTCCTAATTGCACTAATAAAATTGCTTTCTCCACGCCGACTCTTTAACCTTGAACTATTTTTTTATGACTGAAACTCTCTCTCTGGCCCCTGCATAAGTCTCTATTGAAGACAATGTGCAGGTCTTACTGGAGCTCAATTTTGTTTGTATGATCACTGCTAGGCAATGGAGACCTTGATACGCCAATGTTTCCCTAAGTAGCCCTTTACAAGACGACTATGACGACAAAGTGCTGTTATTATCTGTGTGTGTGGTGGTTGTGGGGAGGGGAGGGGGGGGGGGGGAGATATCAAAGGTCAATACAGATCTTCCACCAATTCCCATATCGTTTTGTATCTACTTTATTATGCAGCTCCTGCAGAACGACGCTCTGCTTAGCAGAGTTTCCTACTTCAGAGGCGACCAGATCTTGACAATATTCAGAGCAGAAATCACAGATACAGATACATATCGCTGCAGGGCGGAGAGCGCGGGTGGTGATAGTTCAGGCGAGGTTGTAATCGGCAATGCAGCATCCCTGGTCGTCAATGGTACGTTATTACAGTGCTTTCCACAGCGATTCAGTTGACATCTCAATCCTCCAAATGCATATTCAAACTAATTCGCCTCTACAAACATTTCATTTACCTTTCCTGCAAATCGTCAACAAGCGGAGACCACATGATTCGACTCCATTTCATCCTGAGCTTCTTGTGGAGACTGTGTAGTGTGTTGTTCAGTGTTCTTCATTGGTTGAGCATGCAAGGGCAGTTGATGGGATATACGCATACCTTTTTAGATAGAGGGCCATACGCACACTTTTTGTACACACTGATGTCAAGTAGCTGGCAAGTGTTTGCTTAGGGAGGAATGATAACCTATTGGCACACATACACACACACACGCGTTCACGCACGCACACGCGCACGCACTCACGCACGCGCGCACACACACACACACACACACACACACACTATGTTTGTCGAATCATGGCACTGAAACGATCTATACCAAGTGTGTTGAAGCAGCACTGTTTCTACTACCCTATTTTTATGCCTTGTAAATACAGTCGCTCCTGTCATCAATCCTCCCATACCGGCGCAAATACTTGCCTATGAAGGTTCGGCGTTGACTGTTCCGTGTGCGTACGCTGGTCAACCACAGCCGTCTGCACAATGGTGCAAAGTGGACGAAAACGGGGAATGTATCACTCCAGCACCTAATTGCCCCGGTTTTACTGCTGTTCAACAAGGTGGAAATGTCCACGAACTCCGGATTTCGGCACTGAAGTCTTGCCACGATGGCATGTATGCGTGCATCGCGAACAGCACTGTCGGTTCAGCTACTGCGACGTTCATGCTAACAACAAAAGGTATAGAGCAGGAAGTTTTGGATTTCCGTGTTCAATTTTTGGCGCCTTTGTATTGCTGTATTGCGGGTACTCTGGTCTTATCCTTGGAGGTGGTGATGATAACTTTGATTGTTTCAGAGAGCATGGATCTCATTAGAGAGGTTAAGATGCATGTTATTTCCGATGTAACGCGTAATTTCACCTCAAATTTGGCGTAAAACTCCAAATCTCGACGTGAGCTGCAGGTCGACTGCGCGAGCCAAATAACGCGAGCCGAACTTTCGCGTCACGTCAGAAATAACGTGCATCTTAACCTCTCCATTAGCAGTGTTTCACTTGCAGTAGTGGAGCAAAACTGCTTCTCACAAGTCAAGTGCACGTGTGCATGTATGCGGATTGCGTAATTATTGATCCCTACAGATACAGCTCATTTGGGAATATCTGGTCAGTTTTCGACAACTGATAGCGGCGATCTGCTTGATCTGAGACACAGATTTCTAAGCGAGGTATGAAACACTAATGCTGTATTGGTCTTCTCTGAGACTAGTGCAGCATGAGCTATGAAACCAATGCTCTGTGTGTGTGGGGGAGGGGGGGGGGGGGATTCACATCTCTACTGCAAGTACTCTAAACTGATACCCGGTCTTATTTTATTCAGCACTTTGTTCTGTTTTTTGCTACGAGTGTGCAGTCACTTCCCTTGCTGACATCAAGAATGAAAGCTGAACTGGAACACTTCTCATACTCACCGATAAAGTAAGACCTTGCTATGAGTGATGGAGAATAAAGTTATGGCACAGAAAGCAAGACCATCAACTAGTGCCGGGTGTGTGTATTTGTGGATATGTCTTGTTTTATTCGGACATAATCCAACCAGCTTCCGGCTGCCAAACTGCGCTTCACTACGAGGTGCATTGTCCGTGTTTGCTGTATTTCTCCAGTGCAACGATGGGCACCATTCAAGCCGACATCACTCTACAAGCTGGGTATATAGGAAACATTTCTGAAGCCAGCCTTCTTGCCAACTTCTCCTCTGGCTTCTTCTCTGGCTTTGAGGGGTCAAATGCTACATCTGTTACGCTGCTGCCTGGTACTCTGCATTTGTCTCTGTACGGTGAGTAATACTTGTGCGTGTTGTATGCGTGCTTGACCGCTGTGTTCATGAATGCATAGGGGTATGTGTGCGTGCGCGCGCGTGTGTGTGTTTATTTGTGTGTGTGTGTGTGTGTGTGTGTGCGCGCGCGCGCGCGTGTGCGTGTATGAGTGTGTGCGCGCGTGTGCGTGTATGAGTGTGTGCGCACGTGAGAGAGAGTTTCTGTGCATTTGTGTGTCCGTGCTTGGTGTTGGTGCGTCTGTGTCCAGGGAATGGAGATAGTAGAAGAGGTTTAGAAATTGGCATCATTGTCTATTCTATTCTCAGCAAGTCCTTTCACACCCTATTGCAGCTTGAAGCGGATTATATCCTTGTTTTCAGATTGGTGCAGCGCTGAAAGTACGGATGCTGGGCGGCAGGGAACACTTCACTGGCAGGCAACGTTCTGTAATGTGACTCGAATCACTATCTGCCCAGTTCGTTTGCAACATGTTAATCGGTATGCAACACGACAGTGCACTCTAGTTCCTCGGCCTCACAACTCCACTCTCCGCATGGCAGAGTGGACGGCCCCGAATAGCTCTGCTTGCCCTACAGATACAACAGTTCAGCTGCAGCAGCTTGCAATGGTGAGACCTTGGGATTATTCAAAAAAGAAATACAGTTTAGCGCTTTACAAAAACTCGGATATTGAGCCGATAGTAATAATTATGTAAAGAGAAAAGGACCTATACGTTACTAGTAACTTATGACACCCCACCCCTCCCCCCCCCCCCTCTCCCCCTCCCCCTCTCCCTCCCCCTCTCCCCCCCCCCCCTCCCCCCCTCTCCCTCCCCCTCTCCCCCCCCCTCTCCCTCCCCCTTACCTGCTTTCAATGCAAATACTGTTATCGACAAAGAGATCCAGTGGAATGACTTGGGGTCAGGGCCCATACTTGGTTAGAGCGTACACACACACACACACACACACACACACACACACACACACACACACACACACGCACACACACACACACTGTGTAACACTGTAAAAATACACCATCAATGCACACCACTGCATGTCCAGCCCCATGGCCGCTGGACTTTTCAATGGATTCCAGTGTCGACAACAGTAGAATGTAAGTCTATTTCACCAAATTGGACAGTTTCCTCATTGGAATAATGTGCAAAGAGAACGACAAGCACAGAGTAGATCAGCAAAATGAAGTTATGAAAATCTTCCTTGCTGGTTCATACCAGCTATGCGAACATGACAACCTCTACAATTATCAGACCTTTTTGACAGTTTTGTCTCCATTCACCACCGCTCCCATCAGTTTCAGCAAGCTAGTGGCAAACTAACCTACTGTATTGTCAGCCGCTGAAGAGCAGGGTGGGGGGGGGGGGTCGTACTTATAATATATATAGCATAGGCTCTTCTTATTTTAAATGACCTATAGATTATGCACAGTTATGTCATCACCGTGTCCACATTGGTATGTTGTGCTTGACTAAATACTAGCCTGTTCATTCTTCAGCGCCTGACAGTACTGTTGGCAAATGCACAGCATATGCACTGTATGTATGTGTCACCGATCAGGTTGATGTGTTATCAAGAAAACGTCTTCACTGTTTTGTCTGTTCAATATAATCCGACGTACTTGAAACATAATTTCTTTGCAGTCAGTCCGGTTTCATGCATCTCATAACACTTTTGCACGCAGTAAAATTATGTACCGGAAGACACTATATCTGGGCACTGGAGCATGTGTGTACTGCGTGTTGTCCTCTCTCAGACTGATTTCATTGCTAACGATCCAGTGACAGTTCTCGATGGTATCCTCTCGGTGGAAAACTTAACACGCAGCAGCTTGGGTCTGACGCCGGACGAAGTAGATTTTGCTTCCACCGCCATCTTCAACATCGTTGTCGCCATCCGTGAGGTCGAAGACCTGAATCAGACAATTGGCCGAGAGGTAAACATGATGTTGTGCTGTTGCTGCTGTTGCTTCTCCTGCTGCTGCTTCTGCTGCTACTGCTACTGATGCTGTTGCTTCTGCTGCTGCTGCTACTGATGCTGCTGCTGTTGCCTCTGCTGCTGTCACCTGGATCTATATTTTTTTTAACATCCTGCTGCCGAGTCCAGATGCCGAAAGCCCGGATGTCATTGCTGGTCACTGTTGCAGGACTAGGTATTCCACCTTGTGGGTGCTCTCCATCATAGTCCAGGAGAACAGGCTCCATCTGCACACCCCGAGCCAATTCACGGGCAGCATTGGCCAGCAAGTCCCGAACCTTGTCAGGTCAAGTTTAGGGATATTCCCCTGCCAGATAGAACCCGTAACCAACAACCAGGGTTGCCTTGCCTACGCGCGCTTGCGCAGCCTCATGACGATATAGGGCAATGGCTTCGTTCAACCTGACCACTTTACTGGAACATTGAATTCTGCTTAGATATCAGGAGATGGTATAGAAATAGCCATCCGGCCAAGTGCAGCAGGAGAAGGCGGAGAGTGTCATTGGCAAGCCATTGCCTGGAGGTGATGCCGCCACATGGATAGTAATAACTTGGTCAATAACGCATACCTCGCACACAGCGTGGACTGAGTGATAGTCCTACTCATCAAGCGCTGAAGCTGCGACACTCACTTGTCAACCAGCCCAGTCACATACTCCTCGCGGAAGCCCGGTGTCCCGAGAACACCACCCAGATATCAAGCTCCTTCAGCAACACATGTTTTCCCTTGCCATGTAACACTTCCCGAGCCCACTCGTCATGCTCTTCCTTTTGCATAAAATGTTGGTGTGGTAATAATTGGCATCACTAAACCAGTCCGGGGAGACACATTGCTGTTTGTAGAATTGAATGTGTCACTGTTGGCTGTGTGCCTGTTTAGGTGGCAAAGACGGCGCTAAGCGGAGTTGATAACATCCTAGAGGACAACAAATCTCAAATGCTCATTGAATCATTTCCTGCCCGCAGGTATGTAGTTCTCATGGAGTTTGTCTGTGATTCTCCCGGTCTGTTGAAATCAAGTAGAACTAGGGAATGAATAAAAATATGAACTGCAGCATGCAAAGCTTTGTCTAAATTGTGCAAGTGCATATAGGGATAATGCAGGATGTGTAGATGGAGTTTTCATAAGAATCTGCTCGTCCACTATAATAACAGTTGACCAGCGATCACATTGTCACTGATATTTTCATGGTTGCATCTCTTTTCCCATCTTCCTGCTATAGACTTGCAAAGTCGATGAAGTGGGTGGTCACAATTCTAGATGTGCCAGAAGATGAGTCGTTTCAGAAACAAGAGGGCAATGCTGGCTTTGCAGTAAGCTGTCCTGGCAGCGCTAATATCACCGATCAGGCATTCAGGGCACGTTCTCTGGGCGAGTTCTTTGTTGGCCCGGCTGCATCCGGTGTTTCAGGTTAGCATCAATGCACATATACAGTGTTTACATTCCCGGTCTGAACTGCAGCTCAGGCGCATAGCTCGCATGGGGCCCGGGGGGGGGGGGGGGGCACGTCCCCCCCCCCCCCCCCCCGCTCCACCCAAAAAAAGGCTTCGACCTAGGTTTATCATGCATAATAATGACCATGAATGACATGCACCAGGCCTACACATATGCGGTTGTCCCCCCCCCGAAAGGGGGACCGGCTATGCCCCCTGCTGCTCAACATCTTCTCTTCTTGGCCTGCATTCGATGTAGGCTTTATGCTTGGCCACAAGCTTCCTGGTGACTGTAAGTAGCAGCACTGTAAGGCTATAGGGGCATAGCTTGCACATCATTCTGGGGCATGGTGACTGTAGTGTATAGTGTTTGTCGCCGTATTGTCTCTCTCCATACTGTCTCTCTACATACTGTCTCTCTCCGTATTGTCTCTCTCCGTACTGTCTCTCTCCGTATTGTCTCTCGCCGTGGTGTCACTCTCCGTATTTTTCTCTCCATACTGTCTCTTTCTCTCTCTCACCTGTATTATATGCGCATGCTCGTTGCAAAACAAATCAGTGCTAGTCTTGTCCCGCAATCGACTCCGGCGTGGCTTGCAGGCCGAACATAACAGTGACCACGTACCATGTCTACCTCAGAGCCACCAGGTTGCCTGGTTTGACTACTGTAAAAGCAGAAATTTTCGGTGGTGTTTTTTTTTCGGTAACTTCAGTGCCGACATTTTTTACCGAAATTAAACGCTCCGAAGATTTCGGTACTACCGGTACTGTATACATTTAGTACTAGTACACTTGCCTGGAAAACGGGTTTTACCGAAAATTTCCCTCCACCGAACCGCCGATTTTGGAGAATACCGAAAATATTACACTACTGAAAATTTCTGATTTTGCAGTATGTAGTGCCTATCACGGCCATTTGAGGGTGTGGTGAGCGGACTATGCTGACTATATGCGCACTACATGCCAGCTAGAAAACCACTCCCCGGCAGGACTGGAGCCAGGCACACTTCGCTCTTCAATCATTGTCTGAAACCTGTCGACAAGATTACACGAGCTGATAGATTTGTAAAAACGGCTGGTCTTTCGGGACTAATGCTGCTAATTAAGACCTTACTGCGATTGCCAGGCACAAGCCCATGCGACGAGTTTGTGTGTGTGTCTGTCCACTACCACAGCGAGCAATGCCACTGTTGCCTTTGACATTCCTGCGAGCGCAATCTCGGCGGCAACCAAAAATTTCACTCCAGCCAATGGTTCAGTGTGCAGAGGGGCATCCACCTATTTCATCCTGTACCGCACACAGGCTTTGTTCTCCGACTCTAGCTTGAGTGCGGACACTGAGGTTGGACCCGAAGTCATTTCGGCACAACTCGGAAACAAGCGCTTGCACCAACTGGAGGAACCCATAGTGTATTCGTTTGACTTGGCTGCAAGCGGACAGGAGGTAAGAACTAAGAACTCCCGCGGGTAACTGGGTTGAATTTTATTGGTGTTTGGCACATGAATGCTCTGTTAATTGAACTGTGGTCAAAACATAACCCTCTCTCTCTCTCTCTCTCGCTACAAAGGTTCAGTCGCAACTTGCAATTCCATCTCCTCTCGCCATCACCATCAGGTCAGAGTATTTAGATACAGTCAACTTCGCCAATAACGACTGCGGATAGACGAGAGAGGGATCTGACTCACAGAGATAATAACGAATAATCTTTACTTCAGGATGAGACACTAGTAAAGCAACTGGACTACACGAGAGGAATAACTGCAAGCTGTAACTGACTGAAACAACAAAAAGAAAACAACTCGGTGTAGTCTCCAGTCCAAACAACAAGACGCCGACTCAACTAATTATGCACAGAAACTACAAGCCGCGAAGTCCGTTTCACGCGCGTGCGGGAAACGGCACATGAGACATGCATAACAACACAACACGATGCACTACTACTACTACATGCATCATGAATAGCATGAATAGCACAAAAGAACAGCCAGGAATAATTATGATTAGACTGGTCCACACAGGAACAATAAATGTATCACCTCTACGCGTGCACACAGCATAACTGACACCAAAGAAGGGCACGTTGATGCGGGCATGCATTGGAATTACCATGAACGTAATGACACCCAAAGGCTAGCGGCAGTGATTTGCCATAACACCATACATAGACTACTGAAAGAGGTTCACCGTCTACTCATTCCACCCTCCTTGATACAACTACCGGTAAGTATCAACGTTGATACAACTAAAATGAACTATCAGAAAAGAAAACGAAATGTAACGAGCTATGAGCTAGCTGTACAGAAACATAAATGGCTGCAGAACTGGACGACTGTTGTACTGTTAGGGCAATTCAATCCATAGTGTCGTCCATAAAAGTCCACTTCAACACCGCCTCCGCAGTACGTGGGACATCTTCTTCTAGCTGCTCAGCAGGCTTCTGAGACACCATTTGTGCTAGGAATGGGGACGAATTCACGCCAAACACCACCCGTTGGTACTGGTAGGCGACTGGCTCCTTTGACGCATCCAAGTCCCGCCACAGAAAACGATGAAATTTCTGATCATCTTCAGACAGCTCGATCTGGAGGTACATCTCTGCTACATCGGCCACGATAGCAACTGGCTTTGCCCTGAATCGCAGCAATATGTGCGGTAGCTCTCTCTGCAACTTCGGTCCTGGGTGGAGGTAGTCGTTCAGGCTTGCTCCTTTGCATTTGGCTGATGCGTCAAAGACCACCCTCACTTTAGTTGTTGTTGCATCTGGTCTGGTGACTGGAAAGTGCGGGAGGTACCAACCACCTGTTGACTCGACCTTTACTGCAGTCGCGTATCCAGTGTTCACATGATGCTGCAGTACACGGCAGTACTCCTTTGCTACTTCTGGTTCCTTGTGGAGGCGTTTCTCCGTCGAGCGCAGTCTCTTCAGTGCCATCTCGTAGCTACCGTTCTCCTCTGGCGGGCTTCTCTTCCAAGGCAGCTTGACGGTGTACCTGCCATTGCAGTACTTTGTTGCTGCCTCTGCATCTGCAAGAGTTTGTCGGTCATTTGCTGCAAGCGGGCTCTGTCGGCGAGGCTCTTCCACCTCCCACATACGCCGGACCAGCATCTCCAGATTACCGTCATCGACTCTGCTGAAGTGAGTGCGGTGATGATCTGAGCTTCCACTCACAGGTCCAACGCAGGTCCAACCTAGCGCAGTTCTCCTCGCCACCGGTTCTCCCTGATCACCCCTCACCTCCTCCAGAGAGTAGTGAAGCTCGGCATGATCCAAGCCAATCAGCATATCAATCTGGCGAGTTGCTGGCTGTTCGAAGGGTATGTCCAGCAGATGATGGTACTGACTTGACTCGACGGTCCAATCGTACGGTTTCAGTGTGCCTGTGACGTGACTAGTTGTGATGGCTGAGAACGGACTGATGAACTTGCCATCTACACTCTCTACCAGCAGATCCACTGGCATTGACTCGAAAGACTCCACTGCTCCGTTGAGGGTGCTGATCGAAACCCGTTTCATGGGTCCCTGCAAGTTGAGCTGGTCCGCTACCTCTGTGTTCACATAACTTTGGGTGCTCCCATCATCCAACAGCGCATTCACCCTGAGGTTGCGGTCACCGTTTCGTAAAACGACCGGCAAGGTTCTCAGTGACAACGGTCTGGCGCCTGCTCCGATGTTAGCAGTGGTTGTAGTTCTGGCTGTCTCACTGGTGCGACCCCTTTCCGTGCCATTTCTGGCTCTAGACGTGTCAATGGCTACTGCCCTGTGAAGCAGATAGTTGTGGGTATCGCTGCACTTGTCTACGCCACACTTTCTCTTCCGCTGGCAGTCAGCACCTCGGTGGCCCTTGCCCAGACAGCGATAGCAGAGCCGATGTGTTTTTGCCACTTTCCAACGCTTGTCCACGTCCATTTCCTTGAACTCTTTGCATGTCCACACTTGATGGTCCTGGGAGCATACTGGACACGCTGCCGGTGTCGGATTGGGTGACTCTGCTGCATGGAATGAGTGGCCTCGGGCTGCTGGGCGCTCTCGGCCATGTCTATGGCGACCAGGTGCTAGGCCTGCGATGGCTTCATTGGCGGTAATGTGAAAGTCGGCCTCGAGATTGACCCACTCGAGCAACGCCTCCACCCCTTCTGGGCGCTGATGCTCATAGAGCCACCTATGGTATCTTGTCAGCAGGTCTTCTGGCAGCTTCTGCTGGATTCGCGCGTACAGAGTGCCCACCTCTAGCTCCGATTGGCGACCCGCTGCTTTCAAGTTGGTCACGGCTACTTCCAACAAATCTGAGAACTGTTCCAGATCTTGTGCGTTGACTCGATCTCCGTGCAATGGCTTGAATCATTCCAGTTCATCTAAGTACACCATCACTTGGCGCCGCGTACCTCCGAATTTCCGTTCCAGGCGTTCCATTGCCTTGTGATATGAGTCCGGGGCGTACCCTAGCCGCTCGATGCATCTTAGCGCTTCTCCCGCTACATACTGTCGTAGCTGCAACAGCTTCAGGGTTGGGCTGATTGGCGCACTGTCCACGCACGCCAGGAACGTGGCCTTCCGTAACTCATAGGCACGCTTATCACCATCAAACACGGGTATTGAAATGCTTCTCATTTTGCTGAAGACGTCTGCGGCTCCAGCTGGTGGTGCAGCAAAACTAGATGGTCTCGATGGAGTTGGTACTGGTAGACCATTGTAGCTGCCGCCATGGCCATGTGCCACACTCTGTGTAGGCCTGAAACTGGCTCGAGGTACAAATGGGACGGCGGCCACAGACTGGTGTAATGTATGGGCTGGTCTCTGGCTACTTCCACTCATGACTGCTGTGTGTACCCTGCTGGAGTGAACAGGGGCTGATTGCCTGGGCAGTACATTGCTATTGGTTGCTTGTACAGCTACAGGTGCGCTGGTGTTGCTGGCCTGACTCAGTGGCACTGTGGGTCCTGCTGCTGCTGCTGGCGCACTGCTACTTGTGCGGGAACTGATGCTATGGCTACTACTGGTACTAGAACTGGAGTGGTGACTGCTCCCTGCACTCACACTGACTGGTGGAGTAGAGCTGGAGCGTGTGGGTGCACCTACAGACAAAGAAAGTGAGGTGATTGCGCTTTTACTTGAGACACTGGCACTGACAGGCCTGTTGGTGCTGAATGTGTTGCTTGCTGCAGATGTGTCCGTGTTGCTTGTGACAGGAGTGAAGTCCGCACTGACGCCACCAGGCGCGGAAGACGGTCTAGCGGACTGTGCAGAACTCGCAGACTGAGCAGTTCCTGACACCCCACCTAATGGGTCGTGAGCAGCGTTAAAGCTTGATGGCATAACAGGGTGGTACTGACTGAACCCTGCGGAATGACGCGCACGAATATGTTGTTGCTCCTCGTACATCTCCACCTGCTGCTCCAGGTGCGCCATTGCTTCTGCCACTTCCTCCAGCTCCGTTATTGCTGCGTCGACTGCTTTGCCTTTTTTCTCGGCTTGAAAACACGTCACCAGTGACTCCAACACCTGATTCACCTCGTTGGCGAACCATTGCACTGCCTCGAATTCGTCTCTCACGGCATCCAAACTCAACTTCTCGTCACAGATCTGCAAAATCAAGCCTCGTCGCCGCGACGTCAAGCGCCGTTTCATTTGAATTTTTGCCACTCTCATGTCTGCAGATGCCGAGGCCACAGCATCGTTGACTTGCTCTTCCTGGCCGTCCGTATTACCAGGCTCAACATAATCGCCAGGCTCAACATAATCGCCAGGCTCAACATCATGGCCAGGCCCAACATCATCGCCTACCGTGACCCTGTTCCGCTCGTGACTGATATCGTCGCTGTGTTCAGACATCTCGCTCCGATGGACTTCCGACTAGGTGAAGATAACCATCCTCTGCTACCATTAGACGAGAGAGGAATCTGACTCACAGAGATAATAACGAATAATCTTTACTTCAGGATGAGACACTAGTAAAGCAACTGGACTACACGAGAGGAATAACTGCAAGCTGTAACTGACTGAAACAACGAAAAGAACACAACTCGGTGTAGTCTCCAGTCCAAACAACAAGACGCCGACTCAACTAATTATGCACAGAAACTACAAGCCGCGAAGTCCGTTTCACGCGCGTGCGGGAAACGGCACATGAGACATGCATAACAACACAACACGATGCACTACTACTACTACATGCATCATGAATAGCATGAATAGCACAAAAGAACAGCCAGGAATAATTATGATTAGACTGGTCCACACAGGAACAATAAATGTATCACCTCTACGCGTGCACACAGCATAACTGACACCAAAGAAGGGCACGTTGATGCGGGCATGCATTGGAATTACCATGAACGTAATGACACCCAAAGGCTAGCGGCAGTGATTTGCCATAACACCATACATAGACTACTGAAAGAGGTTCACCGTCTACTCAGCGGACATAACGACAATTCGCGAATAACGACAGAATTTCCATGCCAAGAGCAAAGTCCCATCCCACTGTAACACATATATTATGATACTTCGGGTATAACGACACTTCGCGAATAAGGACACCTTGTTGATGCCCCGCAGAGTGTCGTTATAAGCGAAGTTGACTGAAGGCGCATGTGAAGTCTGCAAACCATTATCAAATTCCACTCGCATGCACGAACAATGCGTACCAGGCAAATATGGAGCTGTTCAAATCTTAGTTAAAATCAGGACTGCATAGTATCTTTGCTATGGCTTGAGTGGGAATCATTCAGATAGGAGTTTCTGCAAATTTAAGAATGCGACGGATCCTTAATGATCAAAGCAGGTGGATTGTGGGTGGCTGGTGGGGCTTCTGGTCTCATCACCTCCCATAACTTTAGAAGCTGCGTTTTTCTCCATCTTTGAGGAGATTAGTAGAGCTGTCTAAAACAATTCCGCTTCGATCTTAGTCTGCTTGTGATATGCTCTTTCTCCTCGGCTAAAACTATCCTTGCGAGCTTTCAGATACATTCTTACTGTGAATTTGTGATGTTACTTGCTCCAGGGTGAGATAGATGCTGTGAAATGTGTCTTCTGGAATTTCGATGCAAGTAAGTTCCACAGAAAAATCATTCTAAGCTGTTCATCCTCTCATACCTGTAGTTGGATCCCGGGATGGTTACCCTGATGCGTGGTGAGCCCGAAGAGATCATGTTCAAGCCCACCCAGAGTTTGGGGTGTTTCAGGGGTATCGGCCGTTGGGCGGTTCAATAGCCAATTGAGTCAACTTTCCAAGATTTCTTTTGAGTCTCTCTCCCCTCTCCCGGGGAGACCCACGTGACCAGTTTTGGCAGTGAGCAAGTGCAAGTACTGATCTTCCCTGCATACCATTCACTCTGTGTGGAAATGTTTCTCTATGGAATCTCAATCTTAACTAGTCCAAGTAATGTGTGACAAAGAAGTACAGTACTGTCAAATGTGTGATTCAACGGTCACGGTTCGAATCTACTTGTACATCCCTGCCCTGTTACCAGAAACTTTGCCACACGACTTTCAGCTCTTGACAGATCTCAAACCCAGCATGCTTTTGGCTATAATATTATTGTTTTAAAATTGTTGAGCATACTTGGGCTTATGCTTTATGGCTTGGCAAGCATGTATCGTTTGAATGGCTACACAGTGGGTTTCAGTAGGCCTTTGAAGTTGTAGATGGTTTTATGATGTGTTCTTGTCGAGTGTGTGTGTGTGTGTGTGTGTGTGTGTGTGTGTTTGTGTGTGTGCATACATCTGTGTACCTGCATGTCTGCATGTGTGCATATGTGTGTACGTGTATGTGTGGATATTTGTGTGTGTGTGGATATTTGTGTGTGTGTGTGTGTGTGTGGATATTATGTGTGTATGTATGTGTATGTTTAAGATTATGCCTTCATCTGTACATGTGTATGTATGTCTGTGTGTGTGTGTGTGTGTGTGTGTGTGTGTGTGTGTGTATGTCTGTCTGTGTGTGTGTGTATGCTTGTGTGCCTATACGTGCATGTCTGTGTGTGCATGCACGGACCCATGCCGCTATGCTTCGTTTGTGTGTCTTAGATGATGGAGGAGGCGGGTGGAGTGGTGACGGCTGCTCCACAGTCCACACAACAACAAGCAAAAGACCTGTGTGCCAGTGCAATCACCTCACCCACTTTGCTGTTCTGTTTGTAAGTAAATTGACACTAAGTAAATTGACACGTGCAATACCATTTTTCTGATTAGGTTGACTATATACGCAGGGTAAATGAGTTTTCCGTCAACAGGGATGAATTTGCTGGAGTCACTGCTATACACCCATCATGAATGTAAATGATAGGAATTCGAGCCAATAAGCTCGTTCCCATAGGTCTGCAAAGCACTGAACATCGTTTTCACATAAAAAATTATGAATGTAAAGCAACTTGCAATGTAACTCTGTGTTTATGTTTTGTTACCCATTTCTTTCCTTCAAGACTCGGACTGTATCGGCAAGCACATCTTCCGAGACGGCTGCACTGAAGTACGTGTCGATTGTTGGCTGTGGCATATCAATGCTTGGTCTGCTTGCAACTATCATCGTCATAGTCCTTATTCCGTGAGTAGAGGGTAATGCCTGTGGCTGATACGGTGTCAGGCTGTTGTATGTTTCATTGAATGTACAGTTCGTTGTTGGAGCATCACTGGCCTATAGGGCGAGGCTCTTGATTTGATGTCTACGCACAACAGTCATTAATTTTCTTCTTGGGACATTTTCACTATTTAACTGCCCTGAGTAATGGAGCCATTTTCCGGTATAGTGCTACACCATGAAGAGCATTTATGGGCACGTGAGTGTTTACCGCCATTGACCCGGGTGCTCGAATCAGAGTCAGGGTACCGAAACAGAAACTGCCTGAAATTGTACCTAAACTTGTTCCGGTTTCGTTTAGCTTTCACGAATGCCATCAACATACGGCCCTCTAACGGTATGCCAAATTTCAGCGCTGCCCGGTAAACGATTTTTGAAATACTCACGACCCACTTTTTGCTGGTTCCTTGATTCGAGGATGTGGGTCTACGGTAGGGTGCTGCCAAAGACCTGCTGAATCTGCGTCTCCACTGACCATCTTGCTCTAAAAAAAGGAAGCAGTAAGTTACTACTCCCTGCTCTCAACTGCCATACCAAGCGTAGACCATGGTAGACCCTTGTGCTTGAATGGGAGACGATTTGACAAGTTTGCTGTTTCTGATTCGAGCACCTAATTTTCAAATAAAAATTCGTACGAAATACGACAATTTTACTGCGTACTGTAGCTTGTGTTGTAGCGCACCCAGGTTCTGAATTCCTGCTGGGCGGGCCAAGCCAAACTCTCTTCCCTGTTCCATCGCCTCTCCAAAAGTGTATTCTGACATTGTTGAGATTTACAGATGAGAAATTTCACACCTGTCAAATCGTTTCTGATTCGAGCACCCGGGTCGCCAAATCTGTAGTTACCACCATTATTATGTTTATGAATACAGCTGTAGTGGAGTTTTCAAATTCATTCTCCTGTTCTGCTCTGCTGCGTATCTAGGAAACTACGCCAGAGCCTGCACCACCGTATGATACTTGGACTCAGCGCCACGCTCCTTCTCTTCCTGGCACTGTTCACAGCAATGCTGTCCGCCGAGACTGATGTGAAGAAAGGCCACGCCGGTTGCACTCTGATGGCCATAGTCCTTCACTACCTGCTGCTGTGCAGTTTCATGTGGATGTCAGTAGATGCCAGCTTTCTCTACAAGCAGATTGTGATTGTGTTTGACATGCCCAGTCGCAACCAGAAGCGTTACTCGCTACTATGTATCTTCCGTAAGTTACTGCTTCAAGTTATTGTAGTTTTTTTATCTTGTATCGCAGACCAAACAGGCAATGATGCCCAGTATTGTGGAAGTCAGTTGGCTTCTACAAGCCCATTTTCGGACTGGTTGAAAAAATATAAGCGCAGGGCTTATAATGGAGACAATACGGTACTTCTTATAGTGCCCCCCCCCCCCCCCCCCGGGCTTCTAACCAAGTGCATGATTGTGTACGTTTGATGTGCTTTTGGTAATGTTCGTGTACGTGTCATTGAACTGCTGCCCTTGCCGTTGAATTGTGACAGTTCACAGGAAACTTTAGGCTCTGTTTTTCTTTGCCTTCTTTGCTTTACGCGGGATAACATAAGCGTACCAGCCTTGGAAAACCTGCGCCCTCTCTTGTGCCCTCTCTCGAATAGTGCCCCATATGTGATGGACATTGAAAAAATTCTGCCCCAGAGGTACTATTTGTGCGAATACCGTATCTGATAAACAAAACCAGTATGATGAAAAAAGAAGAACACTTTCGTTTGCCTGCTCTCGTGTGTCCAGTGGTACCAATGGTGATAGTTGGGATAACAGCCGGAGCTACATCCCTCAATGCTTACAAGCAAGAAGGAATGTAAGTTACGGAAACGCTACCGTTCTTTGCGCACAATCACAAGACGTCCATTATCTCTTCTACTTCAGGAGCCGCATTTGCACCGTCATTTTTAGGAATGTGGAATTTCACAAATGCATGTCTAACAAAGGGACCGCTTGCATGAGAAACGTCGGCCGGGATTATTCGACCCTGGGGTGATGGGCAATCCCTCATGGACCTATCATCCAGTCATTTAAGAACACACATGACTTTACAGGCTGCACTAGCCCTGTCCCAGACTCGTACCGTACGCATACACACACAAACGCACACACAAACACACACACACATACGCGTGAGCGTGCACACACACACACACACACTCTCTCTCTCTCTCTCTATCTCTCACCAGACCAGGGTCACGTTGCCCATAGCGTGATAACAGACCTGTAGCGATTATTAATCTGTGCATTCTCACCTGCTTAGATGCTGGATCGGCGACGACGCGGCCTTCTACGCTGGACTGGTGAGTCCGATGGCTCTGTCACTGCTGTACAACATCTGCATACTGTACAGAGTCACGCGTTCATTATGCGAAAGCGACAAGAACCTTGGAGAAGACATGAAAGGTGCAAACAGGATCACCAATACGTCGGCACTGGTCATTGTGGTCTTTCTTTCGGTACTGCTGGGTGTTACCTGGCTGTTTGGCTTTCTTGTCATCATCAACGATCACCTCGTTCTGCAGTACCTGTTCACCATTTTCAATTCACTGCAAGGCTTCGGGATATTTGTGCACATGATTCGTGGCAAGGAAGCGCAAAAGGGTCTAGCTGAAATGGCTGGGAAGCACGTCACAGGATTGAAAGTCAACTGTGCTCAGGCCGGGACCAGCCACGGACGGACGCAGCAAACCGTATCACCGGTAGTGAGTGCCGTGCAGCCCTACAAAGGCTCTACTACTCCCACCGCCGCAGGGGAAGATTCCAACAAGCGAAACGCCTACCTGCGTCCCTCGGAGGACGTGTTCAAAGGTGGTGGGCACTCACCAACGCCGCTACTGTCCTGCCCTGTCCTCGCCACTAGTATTTCCTTTGAAATGAGTCCAGATGCATTCGAGACGAAGTCAGCTTTGGAGACTTCTGTTCGATTTGACCGTGTATTTCTAAGGTCCCCGGACAGCCTGAGCGTGAGGACAGAGCAAAGCATGGAGACTGAAGTCCCATAGCTCTTCACTGTTAACTTTGCCGCCTGCTCTAGGTCACAACAGCGGCTCTGGAACCACAGCCTTTCTGTATGGATGGCCATGAGTGAGTGACCAACTCCTACTGTATGATATTACAAAGGGGTACGTTTTGGTGAATTGCCGACAAAGTGCTCGATGCACAAACTACGGAGCGTTTCAAACGAGAACAAGAAAGAGGGCCAATTTAGATTCGTCGTAACGCAAAGTTTTATGCTACTGCAATTATCAGACGACTGATACTGGAACCTGAGACTAACCATTAGGAATATAGTGTAAAAACTGTATGGTACTACGAATCGATTATAGTGTGCGTGTTTGAAAACGATTTCTTTTTTATTAATTTTGCAAGGTTGAGGGAAAGTTGCAGGGGGAAAGGTCTGAAGAAACGATTTGACTGTCACCACCAGGACTCAGGGACTCTCGCGTATGGCCAGTGATGCTCTACCACTAAGCTGCTATCTTTTGTCCTTTTCCTCTTTTCTTTTTGTTCTCCACCTGTTTTCCAGTAGGGCTGTGTTAATAGGAAAAAGCTATGGTGCAGTTGCCATCCAAGCACCGACCGTTTAACAGTTTCTTCAGTCTTCAGACGACTCTTCCAATAATTCTGGATGAATTAAGTGTAACGAATCATAGTAATAAAAGTCGGCGTGGAGAAAAGAAACCTAGTATGGATGAAATAAAGTGAGCGCACTCGCACCACGAAAACAATGGAACAATATTATTTTTAGGATTTGAACGTCGTTTTCACGTGATAATCATCACATGAAAACTTAGCATACCAACACCCCCATACCCACTCACATACATGTACCTTTCTGACCTGCTTTTCTCCAATCTACAGTCTTGCTTTCACACTGCTCGCTGCTCATGTAATCACGCCTTCAATAGTGCTGGCTTTAGAATATTAGTGTTTCTCGGATTAGTTTTAGATCTACTTGTACTAAAGTAATAATGTTCACATTTTTCATGGTACCGTACAAGGCAGAACACCAGAGACCAAAAATCGTTCTCGTTACTCCGAGTTTCGTGTTTCAAAAACACTCATAACACTCATCAGACGAACCATAAACAATAATAATTCCTTCGTGGTCTAACTCTCAGGGTGATGACGATTTCTGATGGTTATCACATGAAAACGACGTTCAACTCCTAAGATAATAATACTGATTTTTTAGAACACGGACGCTCCACTGCATGCAGCGTTATCATGAATATTATGAACAGTCATCACCGCTACACAAAGGTCGTTGACGCTGCAAACTTTATTCAAAAGAAATGAAATCTCGATAACATTGCTTGCAAGAAAAAAAACATGCACAATGATGCAGTGAACATGAAATGTACCCTACGTGTTGTTTGTTTTAAAACATGTTTCATACATGGCACGTGCTTGTTGCCAGGTGACGGCCAATGGGCGACCAGAATAAGCAGTCAAGATCAGGCGATCCTGACCGCTTAGCCGGTCAAGAACTTCAGTCAGCCGGTCAAGATCTGGAGTAAAATAGCATTGCTGCGCGCATACGCATGTACCATTTTCTAAATTATAAAGTGCTCGACACGGTCAACATTGAACATTTGTCGTCCGCCAAACGAAAGAGTTGGCCAGTATTGCTTTTGCAGTCACAGTGTTCAACGAGAAGACCACCTATCCTTGCGGGTGGCGCACAATGGCAGTCGACCTTGCAGGTGTAGATTGGGCATGCCTGTAGACATGACCTCATGCTCAGTTCTGTTCATTGATGTAATAAACATACAAGTACTATGATGTAAGGTAGCAAAGGTGGCTATATGTAGTATTCTACAAGCTAATGGCGATGTTGACAACAGGTTTGTACGCGTGTCAGTAAAGGAGTGACAAAACTAAACAGCTACAACCTGAAAACAATTCAAAACATTCTTCTTCTTCATCGCGCTTATATACAGTGTACGAGTACGAAAGGACGACTTAACCTGAGGAGTAAATAATTGGAAAAAATGGCAAGAGATCCGATCACCACGTCCCCGACCACCACCCCTAGGTGGTGTCGCGCTTATATACAATTCGCAAGTGAAACCTGACCATGAATCAAGGCCTGCGCCCGCGGCCGTACGCATGAGCTTTGGCAATTCTGCAAGTATTTCTTCTAAAAAGCGATAGATCCAGCCACCACGTCCCCGACCTCCATCCCTAGGTGGTATCGCGCTTATATACAGTTTCAAAAAATGCCAGTGAAAACATGACCATGACTCCGATGAGCGTACGGCCAGGCAGGCCCGGGCGCTGGCCAAGGCGCGTAGCACAGTAGATCTACGCACGAGGCCTTCATGTACTGATGTAAGCGAAAATTGATAAGATCATCGCGTGTCAGCAAAGGAGTGATTGTGTAGCCACCACGTCCCCGACCAACCTACTTGTTCTTGAGCATTGAGCAAAGAAAAAAGGCTTATAGTTGTCAGTGTTCGGGAGGTGGGCCATGGGCCATGTATGAACCACGATCATACACAGTTGCGTCGGGCAAGCCGCTCTGATCTGGCCCTCGGTCATGTGAGTGTTCTTGCCCTCGGTTGAGACGCCCTCGGGGCTGCGCCCCTCGGGCGTCTCGACCTCGGGCAAGATCACTCACAGACCTCGGGCAAGATCAGAGCGTCTTGCCCTCGCAACTGTGTATGATTGTGTATTTTTATGGATCGTGCTGTATACATGTAGCCGTGGTGGTGCATGGTTCCGACATCACTGCGCCAGTGTCAAGCCATGCAAAGCATCTCGGTCGACTGTTGACGTACTACAATGATTATGATTGTTGTACTGTAATTGCATGTACGTACAATCATGTACATCGCAAAAATGCAGAACAAAATCAAGGCGTTTCTGTTTTTTATGGCGCGAGAGTAAACCAGGTAGAGATAGTAGTGGTATCGTTGCAACCACTGATGTTTTCGATTTCGGCAGTGACAGGCAAGGCAACAAAATTTACGAAGTCACTGGCTGCTTTGGTTGTGGATAAAAAGTTGAAACGGAGACTTGCCGTTTGGTCCATTCTGCCGTGATGGGTGAGCTAGAAACCCGGGTTTCGTTTTGCCGGCTGCGCCGGTTGTGTTTCACTGTGGTGAATGTGTGCCTTTGCATGCCAGGTTCACCCGTGGCCACTCGGGTAACGGATTCTTGTCAAGCTTTTGCGTTCACCTTACACTCTTCAACAGAGAGTTCTACTTTTCGCCGAACATGGGTTGCCTTTTTGATTCAGTTCTTGCTTCAATCCTGGTGTCACCGCGCCTTGGCTCAGTTGTGAACAAACCCATTCTCCAGTAATGCTGTTTCTGCCGCTCACCCTTGCTCATAATATTATACACTCACCAGTATAGTACCAGTAGAACTCTATCCACAACTAAAGCCATTACAGGTACCTTGCATTTTGGATCCAGGAGACGTGGAAACGTCACACACTCACCCCCATGCTGCGTGCTATGATCATCAGGATCTACATAACTTCTGCTTTCTTCCACTAATGGAGACAGCTCCGCTCGAAGACACCCGAGCAGAGGATTTCCAAATGCGTCCAGCGGGCATGACACGTTCGTCGCAATGGAGTCAAGTCATAGGATCTCCTGTAGCGCCAAGCACCACTTCTCCTGGTGTGTCTTTACAACCTTTGACATAATTTGATAATAATATTATTCATCCTAAAGAGAGCCTTCCGCGATCTTCTAATCGATCTGAAACGTGCACGGTTGTATAGTTACACGCGGGGAAGGTCTTCCTCCTGACTGGCTCGTACAGACTCGGTACGTTCAGCTGCACTGGAATGCTTGCTGGTCATGCATTACCGGCCAGCGGCCTTCAAGAAACTTACTAGTAGTAGTAGTTGAGTTCGTAACGAAGCGGCAGAGGCACTCCAAAGTTGAACGCCTGCTTAGCCCTAACATGAAATGTGCTAATGGATGATTGTCAGCCCCGTGTCAGCCTAGAATGGGCTCAAATTGATGGTGCAACAAGCGCAGTGCTGATAGGGTTAGGAGGAGGGAAAGGAATGAGCGTGTCTGCACGTACCGAACCAATGCCCAGCGCGAATTGGGAAACGTGAACGCCTCAGCGCAGTAATTGTTGTGAGACTCTGAGTCTATGCACTTTTGTTATGGTGATAGACGCTCAATTAGATGTTAGAAAAGCCCCTCTCAACTTCAATTTGTCGTGGCACCTTGCCTTAGCCTAAGCTTAGGACTACTTCGAAGTACACGCTATTGTAGCTTAATATAGAAACTCAGACATTCTTACTATCCAATCGCTAAACACCTGGCAGTCTGACGATCTGGCACCTCGAGAAGCTTCTCGATGTTGGC